TTGAAATATGACATTTACACTCATGTAATGTTTTTAGCTTAGCCACTATCAATTTCATGTAATGTGATATGATATCCTTCATATGATTCTTAATCGTTATGATATGTATTAGAATCTCCAATGAAATTTATTTGTTATTTATTTTTAGGTTTTTTTCGTTTTTTTTGCTTTATAAATTTCAGAATTTATGCAGTTTCATTACGTTCTTTCTAAATTTATAGTTGTTTCTTCTTTTGTCATTTAGGGGAATTTTACATTTAAATTAACTTTTTAATTCTTTTATAATTATCTGTTGCATTGTGGTTACAGATTTTTTTTTTTGTGAACCCCTTGGGATTACGTTGGATGTTTTGGCTTGAATTGGGGCATAAAGTGTGCCTTTGACTTTTTTTTTTTTCTATTTTTTCACAAACGTTTTAATAGAAGTTTTACAACAGTGCTGCTGAACATAATAACACAAACATTAAGATGTTTGCCATGGTTTTAATTGCACGATTAATATGTAATCAATTCACAGTAATTGTGCGGAATGGGAAGGAATGAAAGTATGTGAGGGCTTTTCCTGAGACTTTAATTGAGCTTCATCCACAGAGGCTAATTGGAGCAAGGAAGTGATGTTTTTTAATGATGCGAACCTTGACTCCAATCTGTTTTGATGATATTGGACTGTTGTTGCTGACAGCTTGTCCTGTTTTCACAGGTTTTTGATTTTACTGTTGTTGTTTCAAGATTCACGAGCCAACTTTCTTGATTGGGTGTTGTGACCTCCATGCCTGCACATAGCAATAAGAGCTCTCATGAAGAATGCCTACGATCAAGGAATTGTTGATCTTGCATGTAAGCTAGAAAGGTGGGGTATTTACGATTTTAATATCTCCAAAAGACCTTGGTGTTTCTTGTAATCCACGGGTAAACGCAGACTGTACTACTAATGGAGAATGTTTAGTTGCATTTTGTTGTACTATCCGTAGGCAATAAGCATGGTGGTTCCTGGTAAAATGGACTGCTATGAGCACATTGCAGAGAAAGTAAGTAAAAAGAATTGCATAGTTTATGACAAGATTATTTTTAGTATTTTTAATTTTATTAAGAAAATATTTACGGCAATTTGAGATGCCTGCATGAGGGGATAATAGAATACATTTTTACAGCTAAAACCCTACTATTATCTTGTTTTGCTCATGCTAAGCATTTTTTGTTGGACACCAGTCGTACAACTAATGGAAAACATTTTAAGCAGAATTGGAGTACATGGGGGCAGTAAGAGGACTTTGCACCGAGAGAAAGCCATTGCTGGTCCAATAAAGAATATTTGCAGCATGGTTTGTGAAGTTTGCAATAGACTCTTGCACCTGGCATGTTCACACAGCAATTGTACTTGGCGCAATATTAATAATTGGTGGACAGATGAAACAAGATTGAGTTGTTTGGGAAGAACTACATCTTTAAACTACTATGTCGTGGAGAAAAAAAGGCACAGTCACTACCTAACATCATTTTCAAAACCTCATACCCATGTTATTAATAATGGTGTGAGGTTTTGGAATGGGAGCATCATTGGTTTGGTGGCCTTGCTTAAATGCTGCCAACCTCAGGGCAAATGGAGGATTTGTTGTTCATTGATGGGAAAATTGAATTCAGAGTTTATTAAACAATTTTGCAGTGAAAACGTCTCTAATTTCGATGCTTTTACGACCCTTTAAAATCTGTCCGCGCAACTGAATTGACTCCGCATTGAGAGATGGCGTGATTGCAACATTGGAACAATGACCCTATAAAGCTTAATACGAATGTAATTTCAAGAGACAAAACAATTTTGGACATTTGCAACAAGCACAGTTATTACTCCTTTCTTTTACGTTGCCCAGTCGCAGAGTCCTGTTACCTCAATTCACTTATTGTTGTTTTTTCATGCTGTGTCATAGACAGCTTAAGAGAGCGATTCACACCAGTTTTACATCCTCATAAGATTATTTGCTTACGAACTGAAACAGTTTTGTGGAAGAGGAGTGGTCCAAAATTGACTCACATTTTTAAATCAGTTGTTGCAGGTTGATCTCTAATTTACTACAGGAAACGTTTGTTGAGGTCTTAAATTGCTGCGCAAATGGCGGGTCATCAAACAGTTATTCTAAATCATAAATAGTCCAAAGGTTTCACATACCTTTTTTCCATCCCTGCACTGTGATTGTTTTTTAAATGTTATGTGGCCGCAATATAAACCATGTCGTGCAACATTCTAATTTGTTTGTGTATGTATTATGTTCTCAGCAGACGGTGTTCTTCTATTGTTGTGAATTAGTTTACGTTCTTTTCTTTTTGTTACATTACTCTATTTTTAATGCAATAAATGTTATCTCCACGGAATTTCAAGGGGTTCACATGGCTTTTTCAATACAAACAACACTCATATTTTCACTTATACATATCAAATAATTATTTTTTAATTGTTTTTTTTCTTTCTTTTTTTTTTTTACATTCTGTAATGTTTTTTTTTTCTTTTTATACTTTATTTTTTTTTTTTTACACTGTGCTATTAAATTAATATTCTTGATTGTTGCATGTAAACTTGTCTAATACAATCACAACGGTCCATTATATTTAATTATGATATATGTTTTAAAAATTTATTTATTTACTAGATGAATATTTAAATCATTTTAAAAGTATTATATTATAATATAAATAAATAACTTAGAAGTGAGCGCTAGTATCCTGCATATATTCAATGTCCTTATTCGTTTCTTGCAGCCGTTAAATCTACGATGGATGAGGGTGCCTGGTGAGCTCCGATACAATGGAGGCGAGAGTAGTTCCGCCATCGAGAGATATGATTGATTGGCTAACATCATTTGTTGAGAAATGAGTGCGTCCACCCGAGGATTAGGCGTAAATGCCTCGATTGAAGTCACGTGTGAAGTGACATCTAACGCAGTAGATACGCCGAGTGGGAGAGGGATACACGAACGCGTTCTCTGACGTCATATCGAGCGCTGGGCGCTCTTGGTGCGCCTCCCAGTTTCTGAATGCAGTACCACCTTTGAGTGGTGTGATAGGCTCGATTTGTTTATGGAATAAACTGTGGAGGAAGATCTTTGGTTGTTAGTACTCATGCAATAGCAGATCCCTTCACTATGCAGGTTCTTTTTACTGATTGATGACAGTGTGGTGATGGTGGTTACTTCGATACATCAAACGCTCTGATATAGGAGAGATGAGGAGGAGAGTCCCACCATTGACGATTCGAGGGACCCACATGCTGAAGGATCTTCAAGACCCTCTCGCATATACCAAAAAAGGCTCATTGGTCCTAGGGGCCTGGGCAGGGTAAGGTGAGGGGACACTTCACGTATTTGCAGGATTGGCACCTACAGTTCCCACTACGCATGATGTCTTATGACACAATGCGGACACGCATTCACTGAATTATGTTTTGTAGTCAATATAGTCGGCAGTGGATGGTGAACCCTTGGAACAGCCGAGCACCTCTATTCTGTGGGCACCGCCTGGAGGAAGTCCACTGCGGCGCGCTGCTCTTCCCGGCTGTAGGTGTGCGTCCGCACCCCCACCGCACTGTGGTACCCACCCCCCTTGTGCCGCATGCCCACATGAATGCAGTGTACTCTTTGTCGAATTTGGTTAAGGCGGTACCTGGGGACACTCTGAGACAGATCCACAGAAGACGCCGGGCCAATCCACATCACTAAAGCGCTGCTGCTTACCCCCCTCGAGGCCCCCCCCGTTGCGCACTGGGCTTCCGGCTGTTCCGCCGCAGCGCACGACAACTACAGAACCAGCCCACACGGGAAGTCACCGACGCAGCCGTGCCCCCCCCTGCGATTAAGCGATACACCTGGTAATGATCTACAAAAAAACTCCCTTGCGGATGAAGAGCGGGTACCCTGTACAAATTTCTGGTTCCCCGATCCGCTGTACTGTGTCCGCAGTCTCTGGTCATCCCTGTACTGTGTCCGCAGTCTCTGGTCATCTCCTGTACTGTGTCCGCAAGTCTCTGGTCATCTCCTGTACTGTCCGCAGTCTCTGGTCATCTCCTGTACTGTGTCCGCAGTCTGCTGGTCATCTCCTGTACTGTGTCGCAGTCTCTGGTCATCTCCTGTACTGTCCGCAGTCTCTGGTCATCCCTGTACTGTCGCAGTCTCTGGTCATCTCCTGTACTGTGTCCGCAGTGTCTCTGGTCATCTCCTGTACTGTGTCCGCAGTCTCTGGTCATCTCCTGTACTGTCCGCAGTCTCTGGTCATCTCCTGTACTGTGTCCGCGCAGTCTCTGGTCATCCCTGTACTGTGTGTCCGCAGTCTCTGGTCATCCTCCTGTACTGTGTCCGCAGTCTCTGGTCATCTCCTGTACTGTGTCCCGCAGTCTCTGGTCATCTCCTGTACTGTGTCCGCAGTCTCTGGTCATCCCTGTACTGTGTCCGCAGTCTCTGGTCATCATCCTGTACTGTGTCCGCAGTCTCTGGTCATCCCTGTACTGTGTCCGCAGTCTCTGGTCATCCCTGTACTGTGTCCGCAGTCTCTGGTCATCTCCTGTACTGTGTCCGCAGTCTCTGGTCATCCCTGTACTGTGTCCGCAGTCTCTGGTCATCATCCCCTGTACTGTGTCCGCAGTCTCTGGTCATCTCCCTGTACTGTACTGTCCGCAGTCTCTGGTCATCTCCTGTACTGTGTCCGCAGTCTCTGGTCATCCCCTGTACTGTGTCCGCAGTCTCTCTGGTCATCCCTGTACTGTGTCCGCAGTCTCTGGGTCATCTCCTGTACTGTGTCCGCAGTCTCTGGTCATCCTGTGTACTGTGTCCGCAGTCTCTGGTCATCCTCCTGTACTGTGTCCGCAGTCTCTGGTCATCCCTGTACACTGTCCGCAGTCTCTGGTCATCTCCTGTACTGTGTCCGCAGTCTGTCTGGTCATCCCTGTACTGTGTCCGCAGTCTCTGGTCATCCCCTGTACTGTGTCCGCAGTCTCTGGTCATCTCCTGTACTGTGTCCGCAGTCTCTGGTCATCTCCTGTACTGTGTCCGCAGTCTCTGGTCATCCCCTGTACTGTGTCCGCAGTCTCTGGTCATCTCCTGTACTGTGTCCGCAGTCTCTGGTCATCTCCTGTACTGTGTCCGCAGTCTCTGGTCATCCTGTACTGTTCTGTGTCTGCTGTCGCGTACTGTGTCGCAGTCTCTGGTCATCCCCTGTACTGTGTCCGCAGTCTCTGGTCATCTCCTGTACTGTGTCCGCAGTCTCTGGTCATCTCCTGTACTGTGTCCGCAGTCTCTGGTCATCTCCTGTACTGTGTCCCGCAGTCTCTGGTCATCTCCTGTACTGTGTCCGCAGTCTCTGGTCATCTCCTGTACTGTGTCCGCAGTCTCTGGTCATCTCTCCTGTACTGTGTCCGCAGTCTCTGGTCATCCCTGTACTGTGTCCGCAGTCTCTGGTCATCTCCTGTACTGTGTCGCAGTCTCTGGTCATCCCTGTACTGTGTCCGCAGTCTCTGGTCATCTCCTGTACTGTGTCCGCAGTCTCTGGTCATCTCCTGTACTGTGTCCGCAGTCTCTGGTCATCTCCTGTACTGTGTCCGCAGTCTCTGGTCATCCCTGTACTGTGTCCGCAGTCTCTGGGTCATCCCTGTACTGTGTCCGCAGTCTCTGGTCATCCCTGTACTGTGTCCGCAGTCTCTGGTCATCACTCCTGTACTGTGTCCGCAGTCTCTGGTCATCCCTGTACTGTGTCCGCAGTCTCTGGTCATCTCCTGTACTGTGTCCGCAGTCTCTGGTCATCCCTGTACTGTGTCCGCAGTCTCTGGTCATCCCTGTACTGTGTCCGCAGTCTCTGGTCATCTCCTGTACTGTGTCCGCAGTCTCTGGTCATCTCCTGTACTGTGTCCGCAGTCTCTGGTCATCTCCTGTACTGTGTCCGCAGTCTCTGGTCATCTCCTGTCATCCCTGTACTGTGTCCGCAGTCTCTGGTCATCTCCCTGTACTGTGTCCGCAGTCTCTGGTCATCTCCTGTACTGTGTCCGCAGTCTCTGGTCATCTCCTGTACTGTGTCCGCAGTCTCTGGTCATCTCCTGTACTGTGTCCGCAGTCTCTGGTCATCTCCCTGTACTGTGTCCGCAGTCTCTGGTCATCTTCCTGTACTGTGTCCGCAGTCTCTGGTCATCTCCTGTACTGTGTCCGCAGTCTCTGGTCATCTCCTGTACTGTGTCCGCAGTCTCTGGTCATCTCCTGTACTGTGTCCGCAGTCTCTGGTCATCTCCCCTGTACTGTGTCCGCAGTCTCTGGTCATCTCCCTGTACTGTGTGTCCGCAGTCTCTGGTCATCCCTGTACTGTGTCCGCAGTCTCTGGTCATCTCCTGTACTGTGTCCGCAGTCTCTGGTCATCTCCTGTACTGTGTCCGCAGTCTCTGGTCATCCCTGTACTGTGTCCGCAGTCTCTCTGGTCATCTCCTGTACTGTGTCCGCGCAGTCTCTGGTCATCATCCCTGTACTGTGTCCGCAGTCTTGGTGGTCATCCCTGTACTGTGTCCGCAGTCTCTGGTCATCTCCTGTACTGTGTCCGCAGTCTCTGGTCATCCCTGTACTGTGTCCGCAGTCTCTGGTCATCTCCTGTACTGTGTCCGCGCAGTCTCTGGTCATCTCCTGTACTGTGTCCGCAGTCTCTGGTCATCTCCTGTACTGTACTGTGTCCGCAGTCTCTGGTCATCTCCTGTACTGTGTCCGCAGTCTCTGGTCATCTCCTGTACTGTGTCCGCAGTCTCTGGTCATCTCCCTGTACTGTGTCCGCAGTCTCTGGTCATCTCCTGTACTGTGTCCGCAGTCTCTGGTCATCATCCCTGTACTGTGTCCGCAGTCTCTCTGGTCATCTCCTGTACTGTGTCCGCAGTCTCTGGTCATCTCCTGTACTGTGTCCGCAGTCTCTGGTCATCTCCTGTACTGTTGTCCGCAGTCTCTGGTCATCTCCTGTACTGTGTCATCTTGTCCGCAGTCTCTGGGTCATCCCTGTACTGTGTGTCGCAGTCTCTGGTCATCTCCCTGTACTGTGTGTCCGTCCAGTCTCTGGTCATCTCCCTGTACTGTGTCCGCAGTCTCTGGTCATCTCCTGTACTGTGTCGCAGTCTCTGTGTCCGCAGTTCTGGTCATCCTGGTGTACTGTGTCCGCAGTCTCTGGTCTGTACTGTGTCCGCAGTCTCTGGTACTGTGTCCGTTGCAGTCTCTGGTCATCTCCTGTACTGTGTCCGCAGTCTCTGGTCATCTCCTGTACTGTGTCCGCAGTCTCTGGTCATCTCCTGTACTGTGTCCGCAGTCTCTGGTCATCTCCTGTACTATGTCCGCAGTCTCTGGTCATCTCTGTCTGTGTCCGCTAGTCTCTGTCATCCCTGTCCTATGTCCGCAGTCTCTGGTCATCTCCTGTACTGTGTCCGCAGTCTCTGGTCATCTCCTGTACTGTGTCCGCAGTCTCTGGTCATCTCCTGTACTGTGTCCGCAGTCTCTGGTCATCCCTGTACTGTGTCCGCAGTCTCTGGTCATCTCCTGTACTGTGTCCGCAGTCTCTGGTCATCCCTGTACTGTGTCCGCAGTCTCTGGTCATCTCCTGTACTGTGTCCGCAGTCTCTGGTCATCTCCTGTACTGTGTCCGCAGTCTCTGGTCATCTCCTGTACTGTGTCCGCAGTCTCTGGTCATCCCTGTACTGTGTCCGCAGTCTCTGGTCATCCCCTGTACTGTGTCCGCAGTCTCTGGTCATCCCTGTACTGTGTCCGCAGTCTCTGGTCATATCCTGTACTGTGTCCGCAGTCTCTGGTCATCTCCCTGTACTGTGTCCGCAGTCTCTGGTCATTCTCCTGTACTGTGTCCGCAGTCTCTGGTCATCTCTGTACTGTACTGTGTCTCATTTCCTGTAGTCTCTGGTCATCTCCTGTACTGTGTCCGCAGTCTCTGGTCATCATCCCTGTACTGTGTCCGCAGTCTCTGGTCATCCCTGTACTGTCCGCAGTCTCTGGTCATCTCCTGTACTGTGTCCGCAGTCTCTGGTCATCCCTGTACTGTGTCGCGCAGTCTCTGGTCATCTCCTGTACTGTGTCCGCAGTCTCTGGTCATCTCCTGTACTGTGTCCGCAGTCTCTGGTCAGTCATCCCTGTACTGTGTCCGCAGTCTCTGGTCATCTCCTGTACTGTGTCCGCAGTCTCTGGTCATCTCCTGTACTGTGTCCCGCAGTCTCTCTGGTCATCTCCGTTTACTGTGTCCGTCAGTCTCTGGTCATCCCCTGTACTGTGTCCGCAGTCTCTGGTCATCTCCTGTACTGTGTCCGCAGTCTCTGGTCATCTCCTGTACTGTACTGTCCGCAGTCTCTGGTCATCCCTGTTGTACTGTGTCCGCAGTGTGCCTCTGGTCATCTCCTGTACTGTGTCCGCTCTGGGTCTCTGGTCATCCCTGTACTGTACTGTGTCCGCAGTCTCTGGTCATCTCCTGTACTGTCGTCCGCAGTCTCTGGTCATCTCCTGTACTGTGTCCGCAGTCTCTGGTCATCTCCTGTACTGTGTCCGCAGTCTCTCTCATGGTCATCTGTCCTGTACTGTGTCCGCAGTCTCTGGTCATCTCCTGTACTGTGTCCGCAGTCTCTGGTCATCCTGTACTGTGTCCGCAGTCTCTGTCATCTCCTGTACTGTGTCCGCAGTCTCTGGTCATCTCCTGTACTGTGTCCGCAGTCTCTGGTCATCCCTGTACTGTGTCCGCCAGCAGTCTCTGGTCATCTCCTGTACTGTGTGTCCGCAGTCTCTGGTCATCTCCTGTACTGTGTCCGCAGTCTCTGGTCATCTCCTGTGTACTGTGTCCGCAGTCTCTACTGGTCATCCCTGTACTGTGTCCGCAGTCTCTGGTCATCTCCTGTACTGTGTCCGCAGTCTCTGGTCATCTCCTGTACTGTGTCCAGTCTCTGGTCATCTCCTGTACTGTGTCCGCAGTCTCTGGTCATCCCCTGTACTGTGTCCGCAGTCTCTGGTCATCTCCTGTACTGTGTCCGCAGTCTTCTGGTCATCCCTGTACTGTGTCCGCAGTCTCTGGTCATCTCCTGTACTGTGTCCGCAGTCTCTGGTCATCATCTCTGTACTGTGTCCGCAGTCTCTGGTCATCTCCTGTGTACTGTGTCCGCAGTCTCTGGTCTGGTCATCTCCTGTACTGTGTCCGCAGTCTCTGGTCATCATTGATCCCTGTACTATGTGTCCGCAGTCTCTGGTCATCTCCTGTACTGTGTCCGCAGTCTCTGGTCATCTCCTGTACTGTGTCCGCAGTCTCTGGTCATCTCCCTGTACTGTGTCCGCAGTCTCTGGTCATCCCTGTACTGTGTCCGCAGTCTCTGGTCATCCCCTGTACTATGTCCGCAGTCTCTGGTCATCCCCTGTACTGTGTCCGCAGTCTCTGGTCATCCCTGTACTGTGTCCGCAGTCTCTGGTCATCCCTGTACTGTGTCCGCAGTCTCTGGTCATCCCCTGTACTGTGTCCGCAGTCTCTGGTCATCCCATGTACTGTGTGTCCGCAGTCTCTGGTCATCTCTCTGTACTGTGTCCGCAGTCTCTGGTCATCCCTGTACTGTGTCCGCAGTCTCTGGTCATCCCTGTACTATGTCCGCAGTCTCTGGTCATCCCTGTACTGTGTCCGCAGTCTCTGGTCATCCTCCTGTACTGTGTCCGCAGTCTCTGGTCATCTCCTGTACTGTGTCCGCAGTCTCTGGTCATCCCTGTACTATGTCTGCAGTCTCTGGTCATCTCCTGTACTGTGTCCGCAGTCTCTGGTCATCTCCTGTACTGTGTCCGCAGTCTCTGGTCATCCCCTGTACTGTGTCCGCAGTCTCTGGTCATCCCCTGTACTGTCCCGCAGTCTCTGGGTCATCCCCTGTACTATGTCCGCAGCTCTGGTCATCCCCTGTACTATGTCCGCAGTCTCTGGTCATCCCCTGTACTGTGTCCGCAGTCTCTGGTCATCCCCTGTACTGTGTCCGCAGTCTCTGGTCATCCCCTGTACTGTGTCCGCAGTCTCTGGTCATCCCCTGTACTATGTCCGCAGTCTCTGGTCATCCCCTGTACTATGGTCCGCAGTCTCTGGTACTCCCCTGTACTATGTCCGCAGTCTCTGGTCATCCCCTGTACTATGTCTGCAGTCTCTGGTCATCTCCTGTACTGTGTCCGCAGTCTCTGGTCATCCCCTGTACTGTGTCCGCAGTCTCTGGTCATCTCCTGTACTATGTCCGCAGTCTCTGGTCATCCCTGTACTGTGTCCGCAATCTCCGGTCATCTCCTGTACTGTGTCCGCAGTCTCTGGTCATCCCTGTACTATGTCCGCAGTCTCTGGTCATCTCCTGTACTGTGTCCGCAGTCTCTGGTCATCTCCTGTACTGTGTCCGCAGTCTCTGGTCATCTCCCCTGTACTGTGTCCGCAGTCTCTGGTCATCTCCTGTACTGTTTAATTAGTTTGCACTTCTGTACGAGTTGTTTTTTCTAAACCAAAAGCTCGATATTCAGGTTTCATTGCAGTGTTGGCACTTTGAAAGAAATAAGTTGGTTTGGGTTGCAGTTTGGGCACTCGGGGCTCACAAAGGTTCGTCATCTGGTCACTGCTATAGGGGAGTGTCTGTAGGGAGTATATCTGGGAGTGTCTGTGGGGAGTATATAGGGAGTGTCTGTGGGGAGTATATTAGGGAGTGTCTGTTGAGTATATAGGGAGTGTCTGTGGGGAGTATATAGGGAGTGTCTGTAGGGAGTATATAGGGATGTGGAGTATGTGGGGAGTGTGTCTGTGGGGAGTATATAGGGAGTGTCTGTGGGGAGTATATAGGGGAGTGTCTGTGGGGAGTATATAGGGAGTGTCTGTGGGGAGTATATAGGGAGTGTCTGTAGGGAGTACATAGGGAGTGTCTGTGGGGAGTATATAGGGAGTGTCTGTAGGGAGTATAATAGGGAGTGTCTGTGGGGAGTATATACTGGGAGTGTCTGTGGGGAGTATATAGGGAGTGTCTGCTAGGGAGTACATAGGGAGTGTCTGTGGGGAGTATATAGGGAGTGTCTGTAGGGAGTATATAGGGAGTGTCTGTGGGAGTATATAGGGAGTGTCTGTAGGGAGTATATAGGGAGTGTCTGTAGGGAGTATTATAGGGAGTGTCTGTAGGGAGTATATAGGGAGTGTCTGTGGGGAGTATATAGGATGTTCTGTGGGGAGTATATAGGGAGTGTCTGTGGGGAGTATATAGGGAGTGTCTGTAGGGAGTATATAGGGAGTGTCTGTAGGGAGTATATAGGGAGTGTCTGTAGGGAGTATATAGGGAGTGTCTGTAGGGAGTATATAGGGTGTGTCTGTGGGGAGTATATAGGGAGTATCTGTAGGGAGTATATAGGGAGTGTCTGTGGGGAGTATATAGGGAGTGTCTGTAGGGAGTATATAGGGAGTGTCTGTGGGGAGTATATAGAGGAGTATCTGTAGGGAGTATATAGGGAGTGTCTGTGGGGGAGTATATAGGGAGTGTCTGTGGGGAGTATATAGAGAGTGTCTGTGGGGAGTATATAGGGGAGGTGAATACGTTGTGTGAGATGATGTCACCACCAGCCCATTATATACAATAAGTGGTGCGGCTGTGTGGGTCACCGTAACATATATACTTGCAATCTGATATCAGATATTTCACTTTGCTTTGCACTGCTTTATACTTTTATTTCCCTGACTGGGCTGTTGGTGTTGTGATTGCGGCACCTTTAGTGGCGGGCTGCTGAATGGTATCATTATATGGATTGGCGCAGGAGACCATTTTATCTTCTTTTGTTTTGGTTGTATAGACTTCAATGGAAATGCATTTTTGCTGCGTTTTTTTATG